ACTCCTCTCCTCGTTTTCATATTCTTTGTTGTCCCCCGGGTATTATGCGTCCGACGAGCGAGAGCACGAGAAAGTGAGAAAGCGAGCTCAGATTCTCACCGTCAGCGTCATCATCTCCTGCTCATCGTCATCATCATCGTCATCGTCGGACATCTCGATCCAGATGGACCACCACCTGGACGCTTCGAAGGACCGTGCCGGAGCACGCTACCGGTACAACCCACACATTGGGGACACAGACAGAAAAAGAGAGAGGGAGAGACAGAGGGGGGAGGGTGGCGGCCGGGGAGGAAGAGAGGGACGAGAGAGGGGAGGGGTTCAGGTGAGAGGGTGTCAGGCGATAGGACGTTAGGGCGCCGGTCGGAGACAAGTCCCTGTCGAGTTTGAAGACGACGACAGGCTCGGCAAGGGAGCGTTACGATGTCCGCGGTAGGTCCCCAGGGAGAGCTCACGCGGTAGCATGCCTCAGTTGCGCACATTGGGCCTCGCCGCACTACTCTTGAAATGTGCAAAACGAGAGCGAATCTTCCGCTAGAATATGGACAGATACACCGCCATGATTTTTGTCTTTTGTGCATTTCAAGAGTAGTGCAGCGAGGCCCATTAGGTGCTGGGTTCGAAGCTCGGACGTCTCCTCGGCCTGAACCAAGTACCTTACATACCTGAGCCGAGCTGCGCCTTCCTGCAGCCTGAGAGAATCGGCAGCAAGTTACCGAAGGGCTGGCCGCGTGTTGGAGCACCGTGCTTCGGACATACGCGGGGCTCACCTAGCAGGTATTTCGGTGAATATTACGAAACCAGGTATTTCGGTGAAAATGGGTCTGTTCCGACACGGCACTTTCAACAAAAAATCGGAGAAGTCGCTTGAAAGTCGCCTCCGCGCCGATAGGTTCGTGAAAAAAAATCCCACCCAACAGGCCTGACGTTCCGGGCACTTTTCCAAAAACTTTGCCTAAGGTCTGATGAGTGGACGAACGGCCAAGCAAGGTGTACAAAGGAAGGGAGGGAAAAAAAAACGAAAAAGTTGTAAAACCTTCCCGTGACGAAACCTCCGTATTGGTTCCCCCACCAATCGGGGCAAAAAGTGCCACAGGCCCCAAAATGATTCTTTTTGTGTCATTTTTGCACCCTGGCTGGCCCGGCACGGACGCTGACAGAAATGGCGGGAAAGTATTTTACAGGGCGCAAAAATGACACCAATTTTGGGACTTGAGGCATTTTTTGCCCCACTTGGAGGGAAATGAATACACAAGTTTCGGAGCGAGGAGGCTTTGTAACTTTTTATAACTTTTCCCAAAAAAAACATCAAACTTTTGGGGGAAGGGTAAGAAGTGGGTTCGAAACTGTCCTAATCGACCAACACGAGCTCATACTTAGGAGATCAGCGCCCTAAGGGACGAACGTTGTTCGGGTTCATGATGACGTTATAACCATACGTGCCTATATTTCAGCGAGCGAGCAAACATGATCAGTTGATTTACCTTTGCGACTACATGTAAAAGCTTTCATACATGGGGAAATAGTTCGGTAGGGATACCCACATAAGGGTGGTGACAGCCCCTTAGGGAAGGTAAGTTGTGCCTCACGGAAAAATATGTTGTCATAAGGGGCCGTGAGAGCTACGGTTGGCGCACCCGGCTGGAGCGGCGAGACGACAACACAACCTCGTTCATCTCGACGGTTGTGGAATTACATATGTGTTGTCCCCAAATTGTCCTCATATTTTTTTTCCCCAAATTGTCCTCATATTTTTTTTAACTCCTACGTGACGCGGTCATGAGGGCTCTCGTTTTTTGCGAAAAAATATGGGAGTCGAGGCGTTCGACACCAGTACCAGTTATAAGATTGGTAGTGATGACAGCTAGCCTAACTCGGTATAACCCATAATTGTTGAAATGTAGACATGAGTTAGAACTCCACTTGATGCATATAGGTGAAGTACTACAGTTTTGAATTGGGATCAGTCGGTCTGATGATGATATCTTAAAGCTATTGTCTGCAGATCGGTCTTTGAGAACGACTGTTAAAACTGGAATGGGGCAAATAAGACTTTCGTAAGTGATGCTCAATATTATTCCTTGCAGTTATCGAATGAACGTAGGCGGGGGAGTAGGTTCGATACGTTTAGAAGGGGAATATTTTGTATAGTTGAACTAGTAGCCCGATAACGGGTATGGGGTTGTCACTCGTTTCATTTCAATCATATTCATTGTCGAGAGTTGAGAGAAACCGGATTGCAACGCCTCGATAAGTTGCACCACTGGATCGAAGAAGAAGCATAATACTTCGACAAGGAGGACGACGAAGACGTGAGTAGTAACGAATGAAATCAAGTTGTGTCTGTCTATTTCATAACAGTAAGGGCAAGAGGTAATTGGGTGTTTCAAGGCGATGACCGAAAGTTTAGTGTTAGTTTTGTTATTAAAAGACTAAAACATAAGATATGAGAGAGAGGAATAAAAAAAAAAACGAAGGTAGACGGAAACGATGAAGAAGTCAGGAGGAGGGAAATTGTTATTGGAATTATAGATGTCGGTCAATGAGATGATGCGAGCAGTATTGACCTCAGACAGGCAGAATGAAAAGTAAAGAAGAGAGGGCTTATTGAGAAAATCGTGAGAGAAAGGAGGATTATCAAGGTGCTTACGTGGGTACATTATCCGCGAACCACGATTTGATATGAGAGGTTTAAGTGTGTGCATGTCTGTTGGGACCCGAAAGATGGTGAACCCTGTCGGGCACAACACCGAAGAGAGGAAGGGTACGATGGCGGTATACTTTCCTTTATTATAATGGAGTATTCATTTACATTTTTTGTATATATTTTTATGTTATAGCAAAAGATACACCCCTCGGTCTAGCTGAAGGTATATTTCAAATTTGCATGCTTGAGGGTCGTTGCCACTATAGTACGACCGCTTTCTCATCGACGTCACTTCTCGTCATCATTATGAACGTCTTTTTTGTAATCGTGTCTGTCTCCATTGTTCTGCTCATGGTCAGTCTTCTCCACTTTGTGTTGGTCGCATTCATCGTGGTGGTTGTCTGTTGAAGTAATTACCTTTTTTATGACTATACATATCACTTTCATCATTTTTTTTTTCTGTCTACTTTCTAACAATGACAATTTTGAAATGTTAAAATGGGATGCATAAACCTACTTGGTATTTTACATTAAGTTCATCATGGTGGTAGATGTAAGTCAACCTAGTCGGGATTCTACGTTAAGTTCATCATAGAGGAAGATGTAAGTCCATTGAGGGGGTAGACCGATAAAAAAATGAGACATGATGAAGTGAGAGAAAATATGATGGTATGAGAAGGAGAAGAGAGAATGAACAAGTAAAGAGATTAAAAAAAAAAAAGAAAAAAAAAGAGGAGGTCGACGAGATAGGGGCAGGTCTTGAAGTATGTGTGAGGGACGAGGCCACGATGACAGCAAGTGGCGGATGTACCTCACTGATACTTAGCGAAAGATTCATTCTCATTTTACACATTTTGTATATGTTAAAATACAGTTTGTCGTGATACTATTCTTCTTCAATAATTTCGTTATTAGCAGCACTAATCTCGGTGCTCACCTACACAACGCCTGACTGTGTGGGTAACTAGGAGGTAGCGGAAGGAATCAAGCGGAAAGGATGAAAGTGAATTAATGATGGCGGTGTCGAGCGCATCGACATCCGTTTTTTCTCGCAAAGAGGTGGGAGTCCTCCCGGCCATGTCACGCAGGAGTTTAAACAAAACAAACTTAACAAAGAGACAACTCGGGGACGGTGCATAAATAATTTCGTGGACCGCCGAGACGGCCGTGGTCGCGTCGTCCCCTCGCCGCTTTAGCCGTGTGCGCCAACTACGACAGGATAGGTTTCCGCGGGGCATAAACTTGCTTCCCTAAGGGGTTGTCACCACCCTTAGGGGCGTATCCCTACAGAGCTACTGACCCACGTGCGAAAGCTTGTACATGCAGTTGCATAGGTGGGTCAGCCGATGGCGTTTCCTCGCTCACTGTAATATAGGTACGCACGATTAAAATGCCTATTGAACCCGAACATCGTTCGTTCCTTAGGGTGTTGATATCCTAAGTACGAAGCATACGCCGATCGACAAGGATGGTCTCAACCAAGCGTGAAACCTCCTTACCTCTTTAAACACTAGTCAAAAGAAAGTTATAACAATCATTCATAGTTATACCAAAAGGAACCGTACTTAGTCGATATGAATGTATATCCCATCTGTAATGATAATCGAAATAATCAAAATCATCATTAAATACACAAGGTCAAAATAGAACTCGACCACCGTGGGTCAAACTCCACAAAAATCATACAATCGCCAAGGAGGAATTGACTTTCGACAATAACATAAATGCAGCAGACACGGTAGTCGGAAAACCTTATTTTTTACTTGATGAGATGCGCTGACAAAGTTATTCATTCCACCTAACGCCGACCTAAGATTAGGTACGGATAAACCCATCTCCACACCTTCCCAATCTTTTTGGATGACAGACTGCTTTGCGGATGATTCTTGATCAGGTGCATTGCTTGAAGTGTTACATGTCTCTCGCTCTAGGAAGTGGTCTGGGGTACTCCTCCTCGGCCGAACACAAAACTCGGATCTCAAAAGTCGGACCGTTTTCATCGAATCGGCAAAGTACACCCCTGTAGAATGGTCCACTATGGATCGATAAACAGGGTCAGCTCCTAAAGCAACGAACACTAACCCCTGATGCTTCCTTAAGAGAGGGGATGTATCCGTTGCAAGTAGCTTTCAATTATTCTTATCTCTCCTAAGTTCATGGTAACTTGGATGAAAACAAAACAGAGGAGATAAAGAATGAGAATCATTTGACAGGTACATGTAGGTAAGATCATTCAGGATAAAACGAGTAATCCTCAGGAAAAAACTAATTTTATTTGACCTTATCTGCTTTATTTCAATCGGATTCATTTTACAACATGCACTAGATTCTTATTTTCCAGAACAACTTGAACAAGTCCTTTAAATAAGTAGGTAGACGAAAGGTATAAAGAGAACAATTTTTTTTCTCATCTCGATAAGGCATTAACCATTCTCCTTGGCAAGCATCCTTCTGCCTGCCTGCACGCACAAAAACAACCAACAGGTCCAAAAAATCCAGCAACCCATACTCCCGTCATATCCCACTTTTCACATTCATGACCGCATACGTTTTACTCAACCTTTTCCTTTGAACATGCAAAACAAACAGAGTCAAGCAAAATGTGGGCTCACACATGTGTGAAAAGGAATTTGAGTCAATCAACTGACTGCCCTTGAGTGAAGTGGTGCCGAACGCGCCCTGGCTCACTCAAGAAGGCCAAGAAATAATATATTTGTCGTCAAAGAAAACTGCAGTCCGACGGCAAGTCTCAAGCCAACTGCTTGTCCCAATCTGTTCCCGACTCGCAAGTCTCACACGTGGTAGTCCCAGTTTCGATGGCGGCAAGTCGCACGAGTCCCCAAAAAAATGTTGGTTCCAAGACAGTCCCAACTGCTCCCACGTTTGTCCCAACTGGTCCCAAGTGGTCCCAGATGGTCCTACGCCACCAACCACCTTGTCAAAAGACCTTTAACCACAATAACTTCACGCCTCACTCCTAAAAAAATACCCGAGTCCTACTAAACCCAACCAGTCTTGAGACTGTCGCTGTGACCGCATACGCCACGCGCCAGTCCCAACTGGTCCTAGGCAGTCCCAAATGGTCCGG